TTTAACCCAAAATTTCTTACTTGATCACACACAATGACACATGCCCAAGCCATCTATGGTCGAAACCAACCAGGATATATAGGTATGTCACAAATATGTGTTAATGATCCTAAATCATTGTTTTATGATGAAGGTGAAACCCAACAAATCTCAACTTAATGAATTGACGATGAACATTTTTATGTTCAAGATTATCACAAAACATTTGTTTCAAAGTACTACTTTCGATGTTTAAAATCTCATTTTCATTTCTATTGTGTGATCTTAATGAAATGTGCTCATCCCAAGTTGTTTGTACCTAATAGATCTAATTTTTAAATTTCCTTGAATACAATGGTCATCCAAGTATTTTTGGACTACTCTTTACACTTTCGTTAAGTTGTAAATTTGTGTAAAAATGAAACCACCCTTGAACCTTATGAAAAAGAGGCCCTTCGACACTCCTAGATGAGTTTTAGATGATAAGTCATGGAAAACCACACAAGTAGTTTGTCATCTCTCTTGATGTCGAATAAAGTGTATCTTTGTCTGGGATCTATCTGCTTTTATATCAAAGATTCTTTGATATCATAGTGCCCAATTTTTTTTATTTTGCTTCTATCTTTTTCTTTGGCACACATAAGCACTGAAATCCTTGATTTTTTTAGTATTACCAACTCAAAACTTATACTTTGCAAAGTCTGTAAAATGATTTCGCTTATCCTTCCCATAAGTGAATGACCCCCCCCCCCCCTCTCCATAACAAAGGATGGTTCTATAGGTGTATCGAAACACATGGCGATTCGTTTTTAATTGGGGGATGAGACATATTTGTTAGATGGGACGGTTCAAGATTTTCACAAGACTTGGTGTAAAAAATGACCATCACTTTTATACATGGCATTTTTCTATGGTGACAGTTAAGTAACCAATATTCCATGTGGAGTTATCTTACTAGGAAACGGTTTAAATTCAAATTTAACACTAGTTATTTAAAGAAATTGTTCATTTCAATTCATATTTTATACTCCCAGAATTATCTCAAGAGCCATAATTCTTCATTAAAAAATTTCTATCCAAAATTCTTTCAATCTACTCTAATGGCTGCTGAGCAGAACATCGTTGATGAATTAAACACAAATGGTGAAGAGGTTTCACAAGAGATGATGAAGATTCAACACACCAGTCTTTGGCTTAATCCTTTACTTGATGTTTATCTTGAAGAACTAAGAATGATTTTATTGGTTTTGGACGAATCTATTGGTAATCATGTTTTATCATCTCCATTCGTAATTCCGATGCAATGGCTATCTTTAGCTGCTTCTACTGCCATTTACAACAAAATCATAAAGATTGTTACATTTCAATTGATGTCCAATAAGACGAAGAAACCTAACAAGAAGTAATTTGCCCAAATCTTGAAGTTACCTTCTATAGGTACATTTTATGATGTGACCACTGAACAAGTAGTTCTTATGTTCAAGGAGATGGGTCATCAACCTACTTTATATGTTATTATTCATTTCAACAACTCCATTTTGCCATGTATTTGGAGTTCCTTATTTGACATTATTCTAAGGTTCTTAACAAGAAGAAGTTCAAGGTTAGACAAGGCGAAACATGAAGTTTATTCTATTGTGGCTAGGTTGTATTATCGATTAGATGTTGATTATGCATCTTTTTGTGGGGAACATTTGGAAATTCGATTTCTCATTCCAAACTAGAAACTAGAGTTTCGAGTGCTTGATTTTGGGGATTGCTTTTAAGGGCGGTATATACCAAGGAAGATGTTATTTTTCCTACTAATGTTGATACCGTTGAGTTTCCATCAATGATGGTTCCTAAAATTTTGGTGGATGATGCTAAGATTTTCCCAAATGTTACTTAAATTTCTTATTCGATGCTTAAGCTGGTGAATCCTACTCATTAATTATTGGTTAAGTATTAAGCTTCAATGGATTCTACTCCAGCTGGTATTCTACCACCAAAGGTCCTATCTAAAGGTGCTAAAGGTTCATCAATAGTATCTAAGGATCATAAGAAAAAGAAACAAAATGTGAAGCCAAAAGAAGTAGAAGAAGAAGTGGTTAAATATATTGTACCCACAAATACTGGAAAAGGTGTGCTCAAAATAACAAAGAAACCTGCTAAGAAATTATCTGAATTTGAAACCACAAAACCCACATAAGAGTCTATTGTTCAAACTATTGAGCCAATAGCTGAGAAAAATCCTATGGAGAATCCTGCACCTATTAAAACTAAATAACAAGGTGAACCACCTATGAAAAGGGTGGCTCAAAGAAGGTTACTAAGCTATATTTTACACGAAGAGGAGTTTTGATTCGAGAGTTTTCGTCTCCTAGTTCTTCTGCATCAAGAAAGAGGACTACTTTAGATGTATTACAAAAGTTAAAGAATCAAAAGTCAGCTCTTGATGAGGATAAAATAGAAGATAATATTGTGGAATCAGAACATGATAGTGATGGAACATATATTAAAATGGGAGGTTCATTTCATGTGTCGCCAGGAAAGGATAGCCCTGTTAAATCTCTATCGAGGAGACACGTATTCCTGATGTCAATGCAAATGTATCTAATATGGATGTAAACATCAATTCTGGTGCAGAACAGAATACAACAATCCCTAAGCAGACGACAGCCATACCACCCGGGGTTTCACATACTGAGTCCATTATCGAGGAGGTCGAAACCCCAGACATCACTGTGAAGTTATCTGATAAGGACACAAATGTAAATATAGGTGAAGGTAAGCACACTTTCGAAACAACAACAACAACACCAATCAAAACTTCAATTGTTACCACAACCGTCCAAACAACCGTTGTTCCTCCACAACAACCAAATTCTCCACCACCTACATCAGTTACTCCACATTCATCTACTACATCATTTTCTCCAACTTTTGTTAGTGCAACGCAAGACCTATTGCTATACTTTTCTCATCTCAAGCAACCGAACCTAAGAAAAGCATTAATAAAGCTGAAGCAGATGATGATTATGTCATGGTTTCATTCGCTGAGTTAAAGTTCAATTATAACATAGTAAATTTTCAAACAAAATTTTCATTTTTAAAATTCACATAATTCTCATAAACATATTTCATAACTTTCCAAAATGAAAATTTCTCAAAAAGTAAATTGTTTAAACACAATCCAAGATCCTCGAAACATAACTCTGTCTCGTGTGTATAATCAAGTCGGCACCCTCCCGTCATCCTGAGAAGTACCTGAAACACATAACACATAACACAGTAAGAACGAAGCTTAGTGAGTTCCCCAAAATACCACACATATCTCATTAGCCTCTCATGGATATACTCAAATAAGACCCTCCGGTCAATGTGTCTCGGTGGAATCCTCCGGTTCCACAACTCGGGTGAACCCTCCGGTCCTAAATCAGTAAGATCTGAATAACACACAGCATAAATCACAAATACATAATGCAGGATATCACAATACTCAATATAATCACATAAGACCCTTTGGTCTCACAAAGATTACCACTCTAGGTAAGTATAGTGAGAAGACTCACCTCGTAAGCAAGCAAGCAAATAAACCTCATAGATGAATCACTGATCTAGCCTCCACCTAACACATATGATAAATATCTCTAATTAACACTCAAATCATAAATCTAAATAAACCAAAATCTATTTTCTCTCTTTAACTCTAAGGATGGGTAAAAGACCATTTTACCCGTCTATGGTCCCTATAATCCCTGTCTTGACCAAACCTTAAAGTCAAAAGGAAGTCAACACTCGAGACAACAGTCCGTGTTGACCTGACTCGCCAAGTGCATCCATGTGACTCTCTGAGTCCACTCGTTTCTTCAGAAATGCTATGAAAATCCAACTTAACTTGTCGAGTTGTCTCATCAACTTGCCGAGTTACTCATGTCCATACTCGTCGGGGAAAACCCTAACCGACTCATCAACTCGGAGAGTCCTTTCAAACTCTTTTATCATTCAGATGTTTTAAGGTAGATTTACAACCCTAAACTCTAGATCTAGCCTCCCAGGGTTGAGATATCACGTAAAGCTACAATATTTACGTCCCTGCATGGAACTTCGGGCTTGAAATGCCAAAACAAGTTTCATTTAGGGTCTTAAGCATAAAAGCTCTTCTATGGTTGGATAAAGCTGGGACCTTTGGACTCAAGGTACCTCACAAGGTCCATATATGAGTTCTAAATCTCTTGATAAGCTCAACACACTGAAGGTACCAAGGAAAGATGGAAAACGCCATAAAACTCCATAAAAATGAGATCTAATTAAAATAAAGAGCAAGGTGGAGACTTTTTACCTTCAGCAAAAGCTATAGATGAAATAACACCATATCCAATAGTCCTTTCTCATTCCTTGCTTTGATACTCAACTTTTCTCTTCCAATAGGGCACTAAAATGCCCAAATATTATCTCTCTTTCTCTCTTAGCTCAATATGGATGATTAGGGTTTCACACGAGGGTGTAAGGTGGCTAGTGAGGTGGAAATAAGGGCTTAAGGTCCTTTAAATAGGACCCAACCCAAGAGATTTAGGGTTTACTCTCACAGCGTCAACTCTTCGAGTTGGTCCCTCTGACTCATCGAGTTGGACTTAAAACCCACGTGGTCAATCTGTCTCTACTCGACGAGTTGGGGCATCCAACTCGTCCAATTGCTCAATTAACTCATTATATGTGTGTGTGTGTGCATATATATATATATATATATATATATATATATATATATATATATATATATATATATATATATATATATATATATCATTCCTGGGAGTTGGGATGTTAGATGAATCCTAAAAAAGAAGATATACCTGATGAGTTAATCATGTCCGGTAAACAATTCTAGATTCTTAATTCCAAAATGAATTATGTTCTTCAATTTTTTGGCTGATATTGGAGGTAAATCAGTGATTGGACTTGAAGTTAAAAATCTTCTAAAGTCTCAAGAGTCTCATTAGAGAACAATCATTGAAAGTGTTGATAAGAAACATAAAGTGAAAATGGCTAATCATTCTCGCAATCTTGATTATGAGATTACTAAGCTACGTGAAGCTTCGAAAGAGCGTCATGAGCTCTTTATGCAACAAGTGTCTAAATCGAAAGCTTCTTTTGAGCTCTAGGTTAATGAGCTTCAAAACTTGATGGCTAAAGAGGTTAAGAAGTTAGATGATAACTAAAACTTGTTGCATAAAAAGGTTGATGTCGTAGGAAATGAAACAACTCGGTTGATCAAACATATCACTGCCTTCAACAACGATTGCTTGAAAGATCTAAAAGTCAAGACTGATAAGGATGACAATGTGTTTGAGAAAGTTGAAGAATTTTTATCTTATTTTAAAAAGACATTATTGAAAGTTAATATTTCGACTCAATCTTCTATTTATCAAGATTCCATTTTCACTATGGTTTCGAACATCGAGTCAAGTATCAAGGCTGAGTTGGCTTCGATCTTGAATTTGGTACTTCTACTAAAAACAAATGTTCCACTTCCTATGCACATCTCGCAAGGGGGAGATAAAGTGTTGGTGTTGGTTCGTCTAAGGGATCTGGAGAAGATACAGGGGTAGTTATGGGAAAAGTTATCTCATACGCAAATTCCAACAATAATTCAAATGAAGAGAGTTGTCACATCATCAACAATAACCACTACAACAGGGAATCCTTCACAAGGGAATGTTAATCATCCAAAAGCTCAAAATAAAGGAATTTCGATTAATGAAGGAGCTGGAGGTTCAAGTTCTGCTCTTATCAAATCAACCTCAAATGTTGATCCCAGAGACAAAGGGAAATGTATTCAAGTTAAACAAACTATCAAGGAGAAGAAGAGATTACGGGTAATAGAGATAGAAAGACAAAGGCAAATTAACAGTATTCTGATTCAAAGAGTGAATGATCCACCATGTTTGAACAAAGGCGATCCTAACAAGCATTGGTGTTATGAAACAATAGAAATTGTTGTACTTGGTAAGAATGATGAATTCTTGAAAAGGCCAAAGAAAAGTTATGACACCAAAAACTCATAATTCAATCAACTTGATTTCCCAATCAATCATATGTTATTCAAGTCTACTTAGTTCAAAATAGCTAACAACTTCAACGACAAAGACGCATACAAGAGATTGAAGATTCACATTCATGTAGTCTTGGGAAAGAGTTAAGAGGAAGTTTGGTCATTGGTAAATATTGTCAAAGTAATATCAATAGTGCCTGATGCGCTATTTGAAGGATTACTGCAGAACTTTCGATAATCAGCCGTAAGGGCAAATAATGTGGCATTCGAGTTCAAAATTGTAGACTTTTCGTTGATGAATTTGAATGATCTCATCACTATATCAATGATTTTGTGCAATGTTGATGTTTTGAAAATGGCAGAGCTGAATAGAGATGCATTTATTCTTAGATATGGTCACATAAAGGCATTTCTTGATTTCTACTACGAGTATATGGCAATTACAGATGCATTTATTCTTAGATATGGTCACATAAAGGCATGTCTTGATTGCTACTATGAGTATTTGGCTATTACAAATATAGATTTTTCCATGGAAATCAATAAAACTTCAAAGGTGCCTCAATCTTTATTAAAGGGAATGATGAACATTAATCAGTTTGAAGATTGTGAGATTATTCATGATCCTTTTCGTATAGTGTTCCAAGGAAAGAACAAGAAGGGCAGGTTGTCGAAATTTCTGTTCCAAGTGAATAACATTAAGAGATACTCAAACTCTCATTTTTCGAATCTTTTAATCGCATCCATAACTGCAAGAGGAATGGAAATGAAGACAAAGTAGAGATCCGGAAAATCATTCTTTGGTATATGAAGATTCGAAGGGAGCTATTACGACAATGAAGATTATAGCTTGATGTTTCGACTATTCTCACTAAGGGGGAGATTGTAGAGTTGAAAGTTGTAGTGAGAGTCAAAAGCTATATCTTTAGTGTTTGTGTCTATAAATAACGAAAGTTAAGCGCTTTCATTATCTAAGCTATTTACAAGGAATTTTAGGTTTCAATATGTATAGACTAGTCCTTGTATTTTTTTATCTATGATGTACCCTATAAATAGGGTAAGTACATAGGTATATAGTAAGGAACACTCTTCATTTATACTCTTTGTACTTGAAAACCATATGTACACATTCAGACTTAATCGGAGCTAAATAGATCATATTTAGATCTCGGTGTTTTTTGTTGCTTTCATATATTTGATTCATTCAAACATTGTTTCTAACACTCTTCAAAAGGCATAATGTGTAATAGACCCTAAAAGATAATTGTAACCATTTTCGGAAGTTAAAATATACATAGTTGTGTTATATTATATTGTGTGCTTAAACGTATTTATATGTGGTAATTGGTTGTGTGTTTCTTTTATGGTGGCTTGGAAACTACGAGACAATTTTCTGGGACAAGTATGAGTAAGTGTGGAAGGTAGTATGAGTTCGTACTACCTGAAGCACATGATTCGTACTTTGATCAGGAGGAGTCATAAGGTTACTAAGTCTCTAAATAGTCGAGCAATTTTATTCAATTCCATAATTACCTTTGTTTCGATAATGACTACGGAGTTAAATATTCCAACCTTAGTGGTCACTTCGAATCAAGTCCAACTAATCTACAAAGTAAGTTCGATGTAGCTCCCAACTTTAGATTAAAGGATAAGATAATCGAAGCAATCAATAGAAGTATCGCAGTTGCCGTTAGGATTAAACAGCCTGTAGCTAGAAGTGTTACATGCTAGAATGTGCTTATATCACATTACAACATGAAAGAAGGTATTTTTCGTGTTGGAATTTAACTCAAAAAGACATGGGTCTAGCCGTTGCATCATACGATGAGAGGTCATTAGAACATGACCCATCGATCTATTATGATATTCGAAGTAAGGACCTTAATTTAGTTTAGTCTATTTTAGGAAGAGTAGTAGTCTCTAGTGGAGATCGAATTTAGAAGGAATAGCAGGCGCAAGATTGAGCACCATCCATAGTTAAGAAGTCTAAGAGATACAAACTCAATAGAAGAGACATAAGAGTTACATTTGTTACCTAGAATGGAAAGGTAACATGCAGAGTCATTATACAAGCCCAGTATTCTTGATGATTTTGAGACGTAATCATCATAAGGGAGAGATAATTATAACACACGCAGATTCAGGCTAGTTAATTAAAATAGAATAAGCTATAAAAATGATACTTTTATAGAAGATTATTTAATGTATATGTGACAAGGATTCCGTACATATAAAAAAAACCTAAAATCCGACTTCGTATGAAGAAGTTCTACTTCTTCGAAGTTTCGCGATTAAAACGATATTACTCTGCATATTGTAAAAAGTGAATTTGTGATAAATTACATTTTATCCTAAGTGATCTAAACAAAAGTCATAGTAGTCATTAAACCGAAAGCGTGCATATAGAGAACGTCCAAATCGGACTTCATGAGAGGAAGTTATAATTTTTTGAAGATTCAACGCAGCAGTATGGGCACATAAATTGAAATTCTAATTAGTTGATTGTTAACCTAAACAATCTATACAAGAATAGAAGATCTCATAAATATGAACCTGTCGACAAAAAGACTGTCGAGAACATAATTCATATGAAGAAGTTGTGAATTTCGCAGGGACTTTAACAGTCTAAATAGATCTATATATTAACTTTTGTTAGAGCAAGAATTAGATGTTGAGGCCTTAATCAAAGTTCTAGAGTTCGTCGAGAGGATCCAGGGGATATGAAGAACTTTCGAAAACAGAGCTCGTATGCGAACGTTATGACCATCGAAAGATTTTAGGAAAATACTTTTGTTGATGACGTGGCGGCACCGGAGTACGCCACGTGGCAAATTGGCCGCCCACTCCTCCAAGAGTAAAGGTGACGTGGAACCATAAAATTCGGACACATGGCACCACGATTTAAAGACGGGTGGCCGTTTCTAGAAGGGTAGGATGTGGCCACACCAGACGACGATATTTGGCAGGAAGTAGGAGTAGCTAGCAAGGCGCTGGTGCTTGGCATGCACCTTAATCCTACATGGCACGTATTTCCATGGTGTATATATATGGGCTGATTTCTCACTTGTTCTTCACAACAATCTTCTTTATTCTCTCTAGAACAATTTCTCAGCAATAACACCGACTTTTTCGAAGTTTCTTAGTATTTTAGTGAGACTCTACTAAATAGAAGTCCGACTAATAGAAGATTTCGGTTTCGAAGTTTTGATTGTGCGTTATTTCCGGTTTTCGCTAAAACCTCTATAAGTCAAGCTACATTCTTTTTCCTTTAGTGTAACTCATATTTATAGTCATAAGCCGTTTTTATGAACCTATATATAAGATTTATCAGTAACTCAAAGTCATTATACTGATTGATCTACCTATGAGAGAGGTGTCAAGAATTGTCAGGCTAGTTTGGTTATTGGAGTTCAGAAAAGCTATTATGCTGAAATGAACCTGTCTCCTATTGTCCTACCTGGTTGACCCTTACTTGATAGATCTTGATGTAGACATTGGGATTAGTGAGGAATCTAGACTACTATTAGTCACCATGATCATTAGACTAAGTCTGTGTATTAATCGTACTTAGGCCACGTTAAGGGTACATCTTAGGTGTTAGGAAAAACTCTGCTCAGATAACCAGTCACCCACCTAGGTCAGGTAAGTGTATAGTTAGTTTCAACTTACACATAGATGCTAGTATTTTTAATGCTTAAATACTATGTGTGTTGTCTTGCTTTATCTAATATATATGTGCAACTTGATATAATTATTACTTGATTAAACTATATATATATATATATATATATATATATATATATATATATATATATATATATATATATATATATATATATATATATATATATATAGTTAGGTTAATGTGGGACAGCTTAATTTTGTGAGACCGTGAGACACAATCTTAGCCACTCATTTAGTGGATAAAAAAACATTTTTAAAATGCATTTTCGGAAAAAAATTCAAATATTATTTTCGGAATTTATATTTTCCAAAAAAATAAAAAAAAATACCAAAAAAATAAAAAATACCGAAAAAATAAATAATAAATAAATACAATTTTTTACATATTCTAGTAGACTATTAGAATATTCTACATATCTGACAAATTTAGTAGAATAGTCTATCATTCTAAAAATCACATTAGAATATTTGTAGTCTAATATTCTATTAGAATATTTCACATATTTTTTAAAAAAAAAAAAACGGTATTTTTTTTTAATTTTTTAATTTTATTTTTATAATATATTTTTTAGATAATTAAAGTTCTGAAAATAATAACTAAAAAAGAATTTTTAGAGTTTTTCTTTTATTTTGCATTTTAAAATTATTTTTTGATTTGGTCTTGGGTCTTACGAAATTAGGAGATTTCAAATGAACCTGAAATATATATATATATATATATATATATATATATATATATATATATATATATATATATATATATATATATATATATATATACACACACACACTTAAGAATATGATTGGATAGTAAAGGGTTGTGTGAAATAATCAATGAGAAGCTATGTAATGTAGTGGTCTTGATAGGTTAGTTTGAGTTGTGCGAAATAATAAGTAGTCACTTGCTATGTCTACTCAATGTACTATTGCATTTTGGTGCTTATCCAAAAGTACTAAGGTACTACCGTGCCTACTCAAAGTACTATTATACTATCGTATTTACCAAGAGTACTAACATATTGCTATATGATATGTCCAAAGTATCATCATACTGTGGTGCCTAATTATTTAAGAAATATATATGTCTGGTGATAAAGCTCTTATAAGTAAAATCCCTTGAAATCATAATATTAGGATTAGATATCAATAATGGGATAGTTGGGGGTTTTTTAATGATGAAGAACCCGACATTTGGATTGATTTATTTTTTAGTAATTTTTTATTTTAAGTAATTTATTTTAGTTTTTGAATTAAAGTTTCGCTCTTGATTATTATATGCTACTTTAATGTGATTGTTTAGTTGTGTTTTATTTAACGCGAGGATAGTTGATTAGAAAAGAAGAAGCAATGGGCGTAACAACGCTCAAGTGTGATATGCAAATCTACATGGAGAACCGTTGGAGTTTTCGAGTAAGCCGTTAATATTAAAAATGGGGGAAAACATATATGAGAGATAACACGAGAGCCTGATCAATTAGAATATTAGATCAAAATGGATTTTACTCAACGATAAAATGTTCACTGTTTGCCAAAGAACGTGGCGCGTCAATCCTATTTACTCGTCGCATCGATAATTTTGAATCCTAGTTGGAGTTCCCAAATTATGAAGGATGTGGCGTGTCAATCTTATCTGTACATCCTATAATCTCTCCAGACCTGATATCCATTTAATTTTTTTAGAGTAGTATTTGCCAAAATTTTCCAACAAGAATCCAACTTTTTAAACAATGAGATTCAAAATTCCAAAATTTTCAGCTAATTGTAACAAACAAGTTCCCACCGACAATCAAAATGTAATCTCATCACTACTATGGTAGGGCAGTTTGTTTCTTTTTCCTCTTCTTTATTTTTAATTATAGCATATAATGAGGGTATTATATGAATTAAGTGTGGGATAGGAAGTCGAAATATAAAATAGCATGTTAATTAAATTTTGTGCATAAGTTCAATTTTTTCCTTAGTATTGTTGTGTTGATATTACGAGTATTAGTATTATGAGTATTAGTATTATGTATGATATTTTGAAGCGAGTGATGTTTTATTTAGCTAATATGTTTTAGTATATTTGTAGCTTTCTAAGTTTTAGTTAAATCATGAGTCAAAAATACAAATTTATTTAGTTTGAGAGATATAATAAATGTTGCATTGTTTGTAGAAATAAATTCCTAAAAAATTATAGTAGTTATTGAATATTTCACTGAATCATTAGCCACTAAATATTGAAGTTAGGTTTCCAAACATTTTTGTAGTTATCTATTATTATTTTTAGTTAAATATAGGTTAGTAGTGAAGCCAATTTGTGGTCGGTTTGGTCAGTATCCCCCGAATGATGTTTTATATCGAACCATTTGACGCCTAATACCTCAAATATGAGAGAATTTCGTTACATGGCTTCATCGGAAGTCATTCGTTCTATAATAGTTAACATATTCTCCAATCATAACACCGCTAAAAATAAAATCTCCTCAGTTCCTAGTGTTCAATGTGGCAAACAAATTAAGTGTGATTTCATATCTCGCGTCCACATCCGACTATATATGCCTTTCGGCTTGAAATGTCCCTTAACCTCCATTTAAAGCCTTTGAAAACCTATATAATAAGAGACACATTAAAAAAAAAAATGTTTTTTCTTCCACCTATGATGGAACAAAATAAATTATCAATTTACAACTTGACCCTTCAAATTTCCAACATAATTTGGATTTTGAGATCAAATTCTAATTTAGTATTTGAATCCATGTTTTGAAAACAAGATAGTTTGAACTCATATAATGGGATTGGGTCGAACCAATCTATAAACGAACGCCCAACGTGATTTGCGCTTTGTAAAATGGAGATTATTTAATTTGTTGATGTGACAATGTGTTACCAAAAAAAATGTAAAAAAAAGTAAAAAAGTAAAATAGTTTACGCATCAACATCTAAAACGACAGATATTTCTCTATTGTTGATGTACTTTTGTCTTTATATACTATTAACACAAAGTCCCAGCCCCAGGATTGCATTTTGTGTGGATGCTATTGCATTCAGAAAAGCACTTGTCATTGGAGCCTCATATTATCTCCCACGTGGGTATACATATATGAGATGTTGCGCATGTAATCTTGTTTCTGCTTTAAGCTGTTAAGCACTTGCTTCGTACTCACCTCCACCTATCTCCGTCGCAATGACAACCCATCGGAAAATCTTGATTGTCGCCTATCAAGGCCAAGGCCACATCATTCCAGCCCTCCGGTTCACCTACCGCCTCCTCAAACTGGGTGTCCATGTCACCTTTTCCACCAGTGTCTCCGCTATACGACGAATCGACAAGGAAACAACCCCTCACGGACTAACATTCGCTCCATTCTCCGACGGCCATGACGATGGCAAACAACCAACAACCACCTTGCAACAATTCCTCTCCGATATCTCTACGTATGGTGCTCTTGCGGTTGCAGAAATCATCAGCTCCGCCGCAGCTGGAGGCCAACCCTTTGACCACTTGGTTTACACCACCACCATCCCATGGGCGGCGCGTGTTGCGCATGCTCAAGGTATTAAATCCACTCTCCTCTGGTGCCAGTCGGCGACTATCTTGGATATTTACTACTACTATGTCAATGAACACCAAGTTTTGATTTCCGGTATCAAAAACAACCAGACGTCTCCGATCAACTTACCTGGACTGCCACCATTAACCACCGCTGATTTGCCATCTTTTCTTACGCCGTCATGCCCAAAGGAACATGTTTTTGTTCAGCAGGATTTGAAAGGTCATATCGAGGTCCTCAAAACAGCTCCAAGAATACTTGTTAACACTTTTAATAAACTCGAAGTCGAACCCATTAAAGCAATTGATAAACTTGAGTTCCTTCCGATTGGACCCTTAATCCCATCGGAGTTCTTCGACAGAAATTCCTCCAGCAGTGATTGCTTCGAAAGAACAGAAGAGGATTACATCCAATGGTTAAACACAAAACCCAAATCTTCGGTGGTGTATGTTTCATTTGGAACAATAGCGCAGTTGTCAATGGATCAATTGGAGGAGATGGCAATTGGGTTGCTGGAGAGCCGGCGGCCATTTTTATGGGTGATAAGAGATAGTGAGCAAGCAGGAAGATTAAGCAAGATAGAGGAACTGAGAAAACAAGGGATGATAGTTGGTTGGTGTTCTCAGGTGGTAGTGTTGAGTCATCAAGCAATTGGGTGTTTCGTGATGCATGGTGGGTGGAATTCAACGGTGGAGACATTGGTGGCTGGTGTTCCTACGGTGGTGTTTCCACAATGGTCGGATCAGTGTACGAATGCGAAGATGATGGAAGATGTATGGAGAACAGGGGTTAGGGTGAGAATAAGAGAGGGAGATGGAGTGGTGGAAGGGAAGGAGATTGAGAGGTGTGTGGAAATGGTGATGGAAGATGAGGATATGAAGAAAAATGCAGAGAAATGGAGAGATTTGGCAATAGAAGCTCTCAGCGATGGCGGAACATCCACCATTAATCTCCAAGCTTTCTTGGATCATATATGAAACTAGAGGGAGGGAGCAATATGGTTGATCATTATAACGACGTCATTTTATTCGGTAAGCTATGCATATATTAAACATCGTAATGGCTTTTGCAAAAGAAAATGAATAAAAGGTTAAATGGACGTGTATGATTTACACATGTATTCGTTGTTTGTGTGTGGTTTTTGATTTTTGATAAAAAATCAGTGAAGTTTTGCGTTCTAATCGTGTAGGTTTCTATATCATTTAATCAGTGATACATGCAAATATATATTTGATGATTCACAATTTGTTGAGATTTCTCATATCATCTAAATATAACGTACTCAACAATTTATAAAGCTGAAAATATCTTCTAAATAGTATCATCAGTTTATAAAACTTCAAAAATATATTCTAAATAATAGAGTTTTTTCATTAACTTATTTAAAGGATCCATCAATTTTATTTATATCATATTGTTAATTGTTGTTTGTTTAAGTTTTAATTTTAAAATTTGTTGAAAATAAACTATCATGTACGATCTTTAAAAAATACCATTACAAGAGTTTATAAATGTACAAACTATTTGAAAAAGTTTTATATTTAACAAACTCTCACATTAAATTTTTTTAACTTTCTTTTACTCGAAAAACTCTTAAACAAACTTCTATTAATTAAAAAACTTGAGTAAATTACACGAATCGTCCCTTGTGTAGGTGCTAAAATGCACGTTCAGTTCCTATTTTTAAAAATTAACTCGGATCGTCCAACGTTTGGTTAAATGTTGCACGTCGCATCCCTCGTTAGTTTAAATTAACACACTTAATCCTTGCGAGATATGAAATGGCTACAGTACCCTTTTCAATTTTATTTTTCATTTATTTCTAACATTTTTGATTAATTTTAATTTTTAAAATATATTTTAATTAAAATTGTGGGTCCATCTACCTTTAACCCACCAGAAATGTTCACACCCACCCCTTATCCCCCTCTCTCCCAATATGTTCTTCTCCGCTTAATTCTGATCATGCTCAATAGTCAGATTATCTTCTCCGGACACCTGATTTGCACCTTCTTTGGTTCCAAAAATCGCAAATAAAAAAATCAAAATTTGAAACCTATAACCCAAGTGATTCTAGAAAACTCAAAATCATTTCACAAATCAAACTCAAAATGAAAATCAACATGAAATCCAAATAACTCCAGAAATCAAAAATGGTGGTGAATCTTTTAGAAAACCTAAAATACACACACAGCAGCGGTCGATTAAAAATATGAAACCTATAATCCATTTACCGTGTGTTTCTAATCGGAGAGCATAGAGAATTAGGGAAAAATCAGTTTCACTAAATCCAAAACCCAAAATCAATTTGCTCGATTCTAATAAGAAAAAACACAGCCCTCGATCAGAGTTTGAATCTAGGTTTATTGTCGTGGCTTATTTCGAATAGAGAAACAGCAATCGAATCCCCTATCAGAAATCAAAACATAACCCCTTGCATCTTTCGGAAAATCAACTGATATCATGGAAATCTTTCATCTGGAGATCTGAAGAAGAAAATCGGTGATAACTAAGATCTAAAACTCGATTTTCAGAAAGAAAGAGCAAGAGAGATGATGTCAGAAAATCGTTTTTCTGGCGATTCGGATTTTTACATCTGGGATTTCAGGTTTATAGTAGCAGATGGAGGTGGCTGGTGGCTAAAGGTGGTTGTTGACCGGAGGTGCGCAAGTGGAGTGATTTATCATTATCCTATTTCCGTCCAAGTCTGTCAATTTGTTCTTCTTTCTGTCTAGGTTCGCCAACATGTTGGAGACGAGAGCGACAGAGCGACGTACTGGAGTCGGAGAAGTAATGAGAGACGAAAGAGATGATCGGTGTATGAGCACACTGGAGCAGAGAGAGGATCAAGAGATTCAGGTCCACGATTTTTCTTTCAAGAGGGTTGGGGAAGAAAGGAAACAAGGGAAACAGAAACGAAAGGGGGAGGGGTGGGTTTGACTTTTGAGGAGAGTGTGTTTTTTCTTTTTCCATTTTGAATTTAAAAAAATGAATAAATAAGAGAAAATTAGAAAAGAAATTATTAAGGGTAAAATAGTCTTTTTATGTAATAAGGGATGAAGTGTGCAAGTTTTAAACAAACAAGAGATGGTCCGAGTTAATTTTCAAAAATAGGGACTGAACATGCATTTTGGCACATGCACGAGAGACGATTCGTGTAATTTACTCAAAGAACTTATTAGCCATGGCATCTGAAACATCCATCGCTAACCACTAATTAGGTCTCCCAATCGGATTGGGTTTAGGTTGACGGGTCATGGGTTGAGTTCGGGTTGACGGGCTAGAAAATATAAATTCAACCCGACTCATATAATATATGGGTTGACGGGTCACGGGTTGGCGATTTGGAAACCTGAACCCAACCCAACCCATATAATTCGTTAAAGTATATGGGTTTTCGGGTTCATAGGTTAGTGGGTCGTACCCAATCTACATAACTCGTTTACTAAATAAGTAACACATTTTCAAAAAGTAAGGTTTTTTCAATATAAAGTCATTAACGTCAAAAAAGATGTTTTCACCATGAAGATATAAAGTCATTAACATCAAAATAAAATTGAAACATAAAAACATTCATACAAAGTGAAATTGTTCAAAAATATCCAAAACCTAATTTGATAATTCATTCATGCTAGAATTCTCATTTGTTTCTCCAACACCGACTTCTTCATCATAACCTTCAACTAGAAACAATATGCAAAATTAAATTGATGATCTTTTGAAGGCTACATAAATAATTTTATGTTGTCTACTATTTTTACTAAAAATAACTCACCAAATGATAACTTAAAGTATGTTGGAATTCGTAGCATTCGTATTCATTTCAATTGTATAAGGAATCAGTAGAAAAAGTCTTCAATGATGTTCAAATTAATTAAATTTTGAGTTACGTTGTCAACAACCACATTCAAATCAATTGTATAAGGAATCAAAAGAAAAAATTAAAAGAATAATTAATACAAAATTTTAGTTTTTTTTAAATGGAAAATCTACACTACTCCTAATATCACATATGTCTCGAATGAGAGTTGAACCCTCAGCTTTTAAGAGGGATGACAACACCCGGTACCGCTGGACTAGAAGCCTTTTGGTACAAAATTTTAGTTAATGCGAAAAAACCGAAAATTATCAAATATTTCCTTTTTATCCAAACAACCAATCCCTAGTAGAAACCAAAGCTTCAACCATATCATGTTTCATGGAACTTCAATATTCATTCAAAATTCTTCCACTAAGACTAAAAGTCAATTCATATGCTACCGTCGAAACGGGAGCACAAAGTAAATTATTAAATATATTTATTTATTTTAAATGTAAGTAATGTATATACGGGTTGGCGGGTTGATCGACCCGCGAACCCAAATATGTAACCCAACCCAACTTATAAAATAAACAGGTTGGCAGGTTGACCTGTTGGCGAGTCAAAAATATCATCTCAAACCTATCTATTTTCAGGTTGGGTCGATGTCGGATTGCGGGTTGGATCGAGAGTTATCAGCCTTACCAATAATATGGTGGGTCTCACCTCATTGTCACACATAACCATTAAGAGGTTGGTATACCCACCATTATATCCTATTATTTTTTAATTATTTAAATAAAAAATAATGTATATATTAATTACTTAAAATGTACACAAAGGTAGAGAGATATCAGAAAGATAGATAAAGAAAGAAAATAATTGGTTGTGGTTGTTTGTGCTCCCTACCACAAATGGCCATGAAAATTTCAACTATTAGCCACCTCTAAACACCCGGGTTGGTGTTTATATTTGTGGTTTATGGTCAGCTAGACCAAGAGGAGCTTCGTGGCTACTACATTGAATGGTCTTAGTCTCTTCGTGCAATATATACTCGTCGTAAATCCAATGAATTTTCCTAAGATGGTACTAAATCTACTCTAATAAAATTGTGAGTTATTATATTAGGAGACCCAATATGCTATTTTATCATTTTTTTTAATTAGAAAATAAAAGGGATAGAAAAATCTCTATACCCGATGGAGAACCCGAAACTCGCATTTGATTTGACTAAATCTCTAAGTTGACTAGGGATGGGGATGGAGATAAGAATCCCCAAATAGAAAAGTGGGGATGGTAATACTAGTCTCCGACCCTGAACCCGACCCCGATAAATATAAATATATAAAAATAAAACAAAACATATATTTATAGTAAATTTTCAATACCTAAAACTTGATCCAATAAACTTGACTCATCAGTAATTACTTGGTTGAAATTGTATTTTTTTTTTGTTTGTTTATCTAATTTAACATTGTATATAATTTTTTCTCCTTGATTTATATACTGTTACCTTAAATATCACTTTCATAATTCTTTTCTACTTGAATTTTAATGTATGTATTTAAATTTGGAAGAAAATTTGTTTAATAGTTTTTATGGTTTGTAAAATCTTTAAACTTACAGTTAGTAAAATTAAAATTTTGAGTTTTTCTTACTTAAAAGTTTTTTTAATTAAATAGAAAAGATAAATCTTTGATTCTCTTTTGTGTCCCCCAGGCCCCTTTGGGGATGGGGATGGGTCCCCATTCTTTGGCACCGTTTCCATCCGTAGACAATAACCATCTAAACCATGAGTCAAATCCACAAATATGTTTACAAATAAGCTTATTTCGCTAAGGTCTCGCAAGCTACACTTAATGTTGTATTTATAGACAATTAACGGAAGAAGGTTACACCATATATTGTGATATTACTATTACACAATCTATGATTCATTCGTTTATAAAACGATGTCTTTAGAAAAATCCAACTATGAAGACAGTGATAGAACATATGATGTGGATTATATATATCCAAATAAGTTGTTAAAAGATTTTTTGTATTACATCTTTTATATCTCTAGCAAATGTTTGAACCCACACTCGTGTTCGGTTAAATGAATTCTAACAATGTTAGTTTTGCTTAGTTATTATTACAGTTGTGGAGGCGCAAGCAAAAAACTTAAAAAAGATTCCT